GGCTTGTTCTGCTCAGTGAAAATGTGTGATCGATGATTAGGGATGAACAGCCGCTTATCACGGGATGAATCACCAATACTCGGCAGAAAACCACCTATGTATTGGCCTTTCACTTAGATTCGTTTACTCTGCAACTATTAATTGCTTCGTTCGTCAATCAGCGAGTTCTTACCGTTACTTAACGTCTGAGAATGAAATACTATTTCAGGTACAATCGACTCTCTGTGATTGTCATCGAAAAAATGACACAAGCCTGTGTGTGGCAGAGCACATCTGTGTGAATATAACTTAAATGATAGCTCGGCCAAATTCAAGTGTTGATGTCTTCAGAGAAATAGAAAATAATCAACTAACGGGTTTATTGAGCAAGCCGCACAATCACAGCACAAGGACCAGTGAAATCACTCAGAATTATAGGTTCGCACAAGCGTAAGCGAAATTTCTGACTTCAAGCAAGGGTAATCGATCAGTAACGATATCAGATAATCCAAAACTGACCCGGCTAAGGGATGACTAACATGAGCACTGTTTCTGTGTAGTGGTAGGCGCGTGTTGTGTATCTGATGAAGATCAAATATTTATCCTGTAGTGTCTTTTTACGTGTTTGTATTCGTGTGAATGGTTAGAGCGGATACAACAGTTACGAAATGAAAACATTTGAATGCGTCTGGTTTTGAACAGCTTATAGTGCGATAGATGATGACAAGATAAGGCCAGCCCTCGTAGCTCAGTGGTTAGAGCAGTGGCCTAGTAAACCGGCTTTCGGCCGGAAACTAGAAACTGTGGAATGAATTTCGCAGTTCCAATAAGCGTCACTCTCGACCACTGTGATGGTAGCTGTCGCCCGCGCTGTTACAACGCCTAACCAACCAGGACCTCATGAACTTCAATTTCCGGATAAGGTTGGTGGTTTTCCTTGATGATGTGGTGGGCTTACGAGGCTATTGGACAGAGAACTTCCACCGCACTGATACAACGGCATTTAATAAAACAGTTTACCAAGCCAGTCGTACTGCGTTCGAGAAAAATGGAGCGACACACATTTTCCCAATTAGTCACTTTTGATGAATACCAGCGATAAAGTATTCCGCGTTTGTCTTCTGTCAAGTTAAGTTCCATTTATCATGAAAAATAGCAAACTACGTGTTGTTTGTTGTCGAAAAATTGTGCATCAGGCCAAGTGAAAATCGACCAGCTGATCATTTTCGTTTGCCTAATTTCTGGCATAGGGAACATTGTTGCAGGTCAATTCTGACAGCAGAGTCTTGATTTGTTGAGAAAAACAAGCAGTAATTACATTTACATTCAGTCGCTATTTTTACTAATTGTGAGTTGTTCACAATCTTCCCAAGGGTACGCTTTCCTCAGTAACTGCAAAGAATCTGTTCCGTTCAACAATGATACTTTTGTCAGTATGCATGAGATATGCATTTAAGACAGTTACATGTTGGATAAGTTCACTGAAGTCGAACTCATCGAAAGACTGAAGTCTAAGTCTAGTGTTCAAAACAATCAGGTGTTATACTAAGACTGAGAAAGGTTTCAATATAAATCATGAACAAATACGTTTTATTTTAAAGTCTACCTATCACCATCACACTTGATCCAATCGCTCACTCACTACTTCACTACTCGGTGATGCATCAGATTATGCCTCACATGAGGATGTTCATCTTATGGGAGTGATCATATGTTGTTATGTGTTATTACATCATCGAAAGCAGGACAGTTTAACGGATCATGTGTTATGATTACTCCACGACAGCTCAGATTTTATCATGATGATAGACTTATTTCTGATGTTGGAGAAATAAATAAGTGCGCTCTTTTCTGCATTGGACTTTAGAGGCGGCAAAAGAGTAGACTTGGAAGCACAGAAAATCTTATTGGGCCAGTGGATTCTACCCTTTATACGCTGAAATAAGACACTGATAAAGAAGGCAAGCCAACATGTGGACGGAATGATGGCATACAGATAGAACATCATGGTAGGACTATTCATATGTACGAACACCTATTTTCTATTTGTGTTTCGCATTTTCACATGTTTAGGGGTGAATTTATCCTCCTATGTTCTTCACAAAGTGGGATTATATATTTGTGACGAACAACGAGGCTGCATGTGAGAGTGTTCATACTGATAGTAAGTAGTATGTTCGTTGGGTTAGGAGTGGCCTAGACACGAATAACCAACAGAAACAACAGCTGTGGTTCATTTGTAAATTTTTCAATAAACAGCGTCTATTCACATTCCTAACGCTTCAAAATAGATCCTGGTGACGATATAACAACGAAGTGTGCTACACCATTTTCCGCATTGTCTTGGAACAAGGTCATAATTATTCGGAAGTAACATTCAATAGGTCGTCTGAGATGTCCTCCTGATTGGTCTGAAGACAGGTGCATCAATTACCCTTCCACACTTCGCGTACGTGGCCACACCGTGCGCTCGTTGTCTGGGCATCGAGCCATAATGTGCGTCCACAATTACGCACATGGACCCGACCTAGTCATGACCGGAGCAGGTAGTCGAGACGTGAACATTAACAAGACCAGAGACAGACCCCTCAGTCGGTCCTACGCGATCCTAGTGGGTGAAGTAGACAAGGTGGCAACGATGAAGACGGATTGAAATTCCGATACATTGACTCCATTGTACCCGCACTGCTGATCTCGTTTCCCATTGCTACCCACACAGTCAGGCCTTGACTTCAAAGTGATTTCGTCCGCTCTGTCCTCTTCGCCCACATGGAACGCGTAAGACCGACTGATAGGTCTGCCTCTGTGCATTGGTCGTGTTATTGATCACCTCTCGATCATTTTCCTCGGCCACATGATAGATACTTAGCGCCATAGCTGCGGTCACGACAAAGTAAAGTCCAGTTGCGTAATAGTGGTCGCACATTATGGTGCGATGCACCGACGGCAAGCATACGGTGTGGTCATTTAGTCGAAATGTATAAAGATAGTTGATGAGCCTGTCTTCCGACCAATCAAGAGGAAATCTCAGACAGCCAATTTGACGTCAGTTTCGGTTAGTTTTGATCTTATTTTGAGACAATGTGGAAAAGGGTTTAGTATGATGATAAGAGGACTGAGGGGTACCGGGAGCGCATTGCTGATGAGCGGCAATAATCGTGAAGCTAGCTTGCGCTTCCGAGGGAATTTCGTCCATCCATTCACATACAACTTACCGTCAATAAAAATATATCTTTCGGTACTTCTTTTAACCTCACCCAACCACTAACCAGTTGAGCCCTAAGTCCAATACCGATCAGGATTTGAGGATATCGGGCACAAACTTGAGCTCATCGAAAAGCGCCAGCAACTGAACAGGAGATTTGCTTCGACCTCACCAATGTACTGGAAGCGATGTCATACAGGAAGGAGTGACTGTGTCACTGAATGAAATGAATGTAAATCCTAAGTCAAAGTCTCAGGGCTATGATTGCCGGTTATCCCGGGGTAATACTGCGGACCTTTGACGCACTGTCATGTCCTTCGCACTGCACTTATGGCCACACAGAATAAAAACTGCTGAACATATCACCAAACAAAAAAAGGAATCAAGTAAACTGAAGATGCGCCATCAGAAGATATGCTTTTCCGCGTCGAACAGTTCGACCCCCTTTCCCAAGAATTGAATTATGCAAATCTTCTAGAAATAGTTTACTTAGTTTTCCTAATACAAAAATCTTTCTCCATGTCTAACATATTCATATTTCTCCCTGCGTCTAAAGTTTTGTTTTCTGCAATTCCGGATGGCATCTTCTCTGAAATTCTCAGACACAGAACTGCCCAGCTAGCGAAACCCTTAGCAACTTTCTTCAATGAAACTACGGTAAACTTCAGTGAGACCTTAACTTAAATAGAGAACTTCCCCATTCAATCTGATTTGAAACCAAGCCAATTCAAGTGCCCTAAATGTTTTCCAGCAATTTCCACTCTCCTTTCGCAGTAGATTCTCTTCCCGTTAACTCCAAACTCTTAGCTACAGTGAGCTTCGTCAAGTACTTCTAAATCAACTCCCATGATAATCTACGGGGAGCAACTAATATTGAAAACTGTATGGGAAAGCTGCGACTTCTCTCTCTTCAAACAAAACTTCAGAAGATGAACTTCGAGATAGCTGTCGCCCGTGCGCGAAACTACCTGTGTACTTCCTACCCTGCATTACTGTTCCTCGGCCTTCAAGAACAGGATCCCAAAGTGGTGCTCTATTGAATGGTAATTATTAGTTGCGTTTCGTCTATCCTCACTGGCACACTTTTGACTGAACACGTTGATCAGCATACTGAGTCTTGTTTAACGCTAGCCCACAAGATACTACGGAACCCTGTTCAACCGTTACACAGACTTATCCTCTGGCCGCTACCACTCAGCCGTCCGTTGTTTTCCAGCACCTTTCTATAGGAATAAATCTGTGCAAAACCTCTCTAATACCCCATCTTTCTCGGATTCTAACAAATAGGGAGAAGATAACAGCTAAGTTACCCACGGAATGTTTGGTGCAATTTTTTCTTGACTCTCCCGGTTACTGAAGTATACTCCAAGTGGGTGCTTACACAAATATTTTACAATTTGTGAAATCTTGCTAGTTTCATTTTATTTTTGCGTGTACTGACTGGAATGTTTGGATACTAGTTGGATAAGTCGTTCATACAAATATAAGTACAAACTCAAGTAGCCATATCTTATTTCTAAAGATTCCTCCCGATTTCATCAAAAAAGACGACTTCCAAACTTCAGCAGTCTAGCCAGCACATTATCACTTTTTCAGGGGCATCTACTGAATAAGCATTTTACAATGATTCGTCCTTGGTTTCCGATACATTCACTGAACAGTGATCATCAAAATCGTGAATGAAATGCATTTCGCGTAAATTGACTGTCTTCTGGAATGCAGCATTTTGCTAGCTGGATCAAACTTCGAAATAATGAAACGTGAATCCATCTCAGAATTATATGGAAACCCTCACCCCGTCGAAATATTGACTTACGAGAAATTTGCCAGATAGTAGTTCTAGCAATCGCAAAAGCACTCGGCCGTCACGCAGATCATCGAACAAGTCATGAACATACGGCATTTCACGTAACCCCCATATTTTGGCCGCTTTTTGTGAGTACATCTGTGAATGATGATCCAACTGCCGGCTGTGCAAACACCCATCGATCACGGAGTCCCAACCGAGTTGGGTGTTGATCCATTTGGTGAACAAGATCTTTTGCATATGATCACGTTCGTCTGCAAGAAGATTAGTCCATCAGAGAGCGGGGTGTGAGGAGGCCCGAGCGAGAGCCAGAGAGAGAGAAAGAAAGAAAGAGAAAGGTAGAAAGAAGCTAGACTGGAAACCGGATCTGTCGTGCATTTATTTGGGATGCTCTGTTTAGTTAGTAGTTCCAGGGCAATTGAGCAAAGTAAATTTGAAACCACACGATTACTGTCCTAATCAAATACTTAAGATAACCACTTTGTTATCAGGCTCACTAAGCTCTTCCGTAACAGATGTACTGCATGTTACTTCAGCTAAGGAAGGCAAGCAGTGAGATTTTGAACCAACGGTCCAATTCTACTGAATAACTACTACAACATTTTGTTTTATAAAGAAGAGCCACCACGTAGATAAATAAATTTTTAGTTAAACCTTCAGCTATTTGTTTTCGATTTGACGAAAAAATTTCTTACTTGATAAAGTAACGGATTGTAAACAAGAAGACACTTTATTGAAAATTCGTCTTAGCAGAAGTTGAGGCTAACCAAACATGGTGGACATAGCTGAAAGAAAACAAAAACCATTCTAATATTTTTTTTAAAAAACCAAACGAGTTTTCTATCAAGCACAGCATACTTTTTTCCGAATCATACACACGGGGAAGTTTAACAAAGTCTAGTTCAGGACATTGGAGAATTGAGGTTCCATGATCACGGTAACAGTCTTGCCAACTGACTGTCTGAAACGTTGTCTACCAGATCATTTGCAGTTGTAATGGCATGTTCATAAGACAGAGCATGAAGACACCTAGCTCAAATGACCTTCCAATAAATTCAGGAAGGACTTTTGTGTTCGATGACTTGGAAACACAAGAATTTTAGCATCACCCACGGCAAAGTTACTCGGCTTAAAAAGCAATCCAGTTTACCTTAAACGGCCCTTTGAAGTTTGCTTGAGCATCTGGAATTTAGTGCTGATAGCTTTTAGCTGAGTGATTTTGACCAAACAGAAAAGTCCCATTTTATACTGACAAATATAATTACTACAAGCTATCTGCCTTCACTGACTTAACTTAAATTCCCATTACTCATTCGTCTATCACAAAAGAACTTTCATTCTGTATGCTGCATCAAATTTGGACTTATATATTGTGCGTTGTCGACTAAGGATAGTAAATGAATTCTCCACAGTTTCCTACATTTGTACTCTTTCCGGGGCAAGACGACTCAGGTCTTCAAACACTGAAATCACCAGATCAAGGTTTCACCGGGAAGCAGTTGAAAACTTCCATGCCTTCCTTGTAGTTGAAAAGTGATACGTGTTGAGTATGAATGAAGGTAGGCCGAGAATGATGGGTGGAAGTAGCCGAATTCGATATCCCAGTATTTCTTATATCACATGTCCATTATTTTTTCAAATCTGTTCTAATTTGTTTTACCTTCATAATATTTTACGCCTCCGGCAAATGGAGTACTTTTACGCATATATATATATATATATATATATATATATATATATATATATATATATATATGTATATATATATATATATATATATATATATATATATATAGTGAGATTTTGGTTATAATGACCTTAAACTTTTATTACAGATTACCTCCGTCCATTCCATTGCCACTGAAAGCACTTACTAAGGAAATTGTGATCAATTCATGTCCGAACAAAATGCACTTGATCGACGACAGAACGAAAACCGACGGAATTCTGTTGGTTCTCTCTATTATGTTTTGTTGTTTCATTTCGTAGTCCCGTTATTACAGGCCCGAACTGATCCTTTTGTCCGAGTTTCTGTTCATCAGCTATGCATTGACTGCATTTCACGAGTATTATTATTATGATATGACCAATTACTTATTGACAGGTTAAAAAGTGCATCTAAATCCCAGTTGAATCTCATCCCCAACTCTCAGTCCCGTGATATTCGTTTGTATATTCAAGCTATGTGATACACTTAGGAAATCTCCAATTCCATACCGGCCCAACTTAGTCCCGATTTCAAATGAAGGAATAACGAGTTCAGGGCCGAATTTATTGCGGTCTGCTACATACGAACTCTACAGATACACCGTCCCACAGTGATCTAGAAATTGGAGTCCCTCCCCATCTCTTCTGAACGGCCGATTCGTGACAAAGGCAAGTTACTATCAAAATTTGATTATTCGATGTCACAGGTAGGACTATCATGAAAGGCGACGATCTCATACAGGCTGAGTCGTTAATTTGGACATGACAAAATCACTTCTCTTATTAATCACTCTTTTACCCATATGCGCATGAAACAGAAGTATAATTGATTATGATGCACTAAGACGTTTCCCCAGATGATGACCTGTATTTAAAAAAGTTACTCCCACTGAAAGTCATTTTGTACGGAGCTATAAATAGTTTAATACGCGAGATAAAACGCTGTGAGCAATGACAGCCAAGAATTACCAATGTATGGAAATATGATTAAATTGTTATGCAGGATCAAAGTAATTATCCTGAGTCATATTTAGAACGTCGCCCCATTTAAAGAGTTCAGTAGAAGTAAGTTTTTAACCAGTATTTTCTTGTAGTTGCGCCTACTGGAAAATGTCAAGATAAGTTCTTCCATTATAGGAAGATTTCACGTAGTATGTGCTTGGAAATGTTTCTAAACGATAGCGGTCAAATGTGCCGAAAAAGAGGATTCCAGTTTGCATCAAGGTGAACGATGGAATCAAGGTGACTTTCATGCACCTCGCTATATGCTTATTGCGATGGTGATGAAACGATCCACACTAACCGATTTTTCTGGCAACTGCGTGAGGGGGATCAAAGTAGAATTGCAAAGGCTGATAATTTGGGATTTCTGGTGACGGATCTTTTCTGGCGTTTTAATGTAAATAGGGGTACAAGAACTCTCTCAAAATACAAATTTTAGAGACAAAGGACCAAGAACACTGAAGAAAGGTGATTTCATAAATATTACGCTCCAAAAACTGCTGTAGATCCCTGTACTTAATCCAGCGTGATGCGGCAATTTAAAATGCGTCCAGTATCAGGTGACGTGAATGATGTGTTAAACACCTAACAAAGCAGGGCATGTTTTGATTTCATCAGGGAATTGAAATCATGAGAACCATCATTTTTTCGATGAGTTTGTTTTACAGACCAATGCTTAGTGGGTTAGGGATCCTGGAAGGGTGAAGCAAAGTCTAATAAGAAATTCTCCCTACACGGTAACCAGCAGAATACCAAGATACAAAACCGACCAATGTCATTGAACTGGATGGGAATAAACCATGACCAGTTTTGTTGATAGACTTTAATTAGAGGAACTGTAAATGACTAGAAAAGTTTCACCTTGATGACTGAAAAATCCACTCACGTGAACAAAACATACCTTCGTGGTAAATAAGTATTTCTCGGGGTAAATCGCAATGACATGGGCCACGAGTAGTTTGCAAATCTATTCACGCGAAGCAATTTGTCACTTCATTATTCACGTTTTATCTTGTAAAAGTGTACACAACTTGAGGATTCATTTCATTTCATTGTCTCTTAATAATTTAGATTTAAGGGTAACCGAAAATGTCCCGTTCTAAATGGAGAATGCACACTGTCCAGTGGTGTCAAAAATGGAACATATGATGGAGCATGAGTTAGAAACGGATTTCCCTAGCAACTTGATGGACTCCATGCCGAAGAGGCGGGGAAGGATCCTAAGGAACAGGTACACACCCAAGGATTATTGACGTACATGAACGTTGTGTCCTTATTTATATCTGGAATATTCAACTGTAAATAAAACTTGTTTTGTTTGCGCCTAATGTCGGCGGCAAAAAAACGGTTTCGTCCTAATTCTGAGCATAATTACTTGCCACACTGAAGCAGGCTAAACGAGTTATTGTTTCAGAGCTTAGCCACCACTAGTTAGTTATTTCTGATATGCAAGCATTTATTTCTTCCTTTATGCTGTCATGTACAAGGATACAACGTGCTAATTAAAGCCCTTTTGCACAAGTCTCGAGTAGATCTGCACTTAGGGTCTCATCTTGATGCTGCCTTTTCACAACTCGGGTGATTGAATTCGATGAAGGTTAAAAGGAGAGCTACATGCACTTACTTCTTCGCTGAGAAAAACAGAAAAATGCACATTAGTTATCTGGATAGCCTAGTTGATAGCATTTGATAAAGAGGAGTAGAACCACCGATGATCATGTCACAGAAAGTAAAGTTACTTCTATTTATCAGCCTGCTATGCAGTGGTGAATCGTTGAAAAAATGACGCTTTAGAGTCAGTCAGTCATTGTCGACAATGCACTTGAATTATCCTAATTTTGGCTACTGCTTATACTTAGGCCCGCAGTGTGAGCTTGCGAATGAAACGCAACAGCATCTTAGTGTGTCCATTCATTCCTTTATCTCTGTGAGAAGATGTCCCGAGGTTGATTATCAGGTCCTTCCTAATGATCCCGGAAGCAGCAACGTGCTAGTCAATTGTTGAAACAACTGAGTTGCTCACCAGCACAATGGATCTCCATCTGGGTAATACTAAAGTGTAGGTGGAAGTGAAAATAGAATGACTCGTTTACCGAGTCGACCATAATATTCTACCAGCAGCGACAAAAATGGGAAGGCAAAATGACCATTTTAGAACAACCTCTTGTTAGACAGAACAAATTATATTGACAAACAAGTAGACCTTAGTAGAGCAATATTTTGGGTAGTAAGATAACCCAATTCAAGGTATTTGTCAGTAAACTTAAGCTACACGAATGAAAGGTGTGTGTCTAAGAACAAGTTCAATGACCGGAGATGCAAGGCTAAAGAGAAATCGCAATGAACGGGTTGACGGGGGACTGATCTCGCTAAAGTGCCGGAGTAAA